TTTGAGCTGGCGCAGCGATAAGTTTGGAGAAAATGAATCGTTTTTTTGTGCAGAGTGTGTGTGTGTGTGTCTTGGGGCACTGGCACTTCAAAACTAACAACTAAGCCTGAAAGTTCACACTTGAAAACAGTTTTGGCAGTGAAGGAGGGAAGGCCCACAAAGGTTGATGAAGCGTGTACATGAAGACTATTTTCAACTTCTTCGTTGCTCCATTGCTCTCTGCGCAAAGTAGCTTCTTCAACCCCTGGAGCTCATACATCATACTCATGATGCATGGCCCAAAGCCAAAGCCCTAGATACAAAGCAAAGCCCCAAACAAGAGGAACATCACATATATTTGTGGTGCTGCAGGACTTCCTTCAGAGCCATCTCATACGAGCTGTACTTCTCTCTCTGTTCGGCTTGGAGCCTGAAGGCCTTCTTGCGGATCAAATTGTCAGCCATGAGCACGAATGGCAGGCCTGGACATTCGACCCGGAACTGCTCGAGCTGCTGGAGGTATTCTAAGGGCCCTGCCGCTCGGGAATATGAGCAGATGTTGAGGTAATCGAGCGCCATGAAAAAGGCGTGGATCCTGTTCATCAACGTGTGAATGCTTCCGGCTCATCGGCCTTGGAGACTGTGAGCAAGTCTTCGGCATTCTTGGTCAGACCTGACTTCTGGATGATGGTGTCCGCCCTGGTGCGAACTTCTGACATGGTGTAGAAAGGCACCATACCATTAACCAGAAAATCTCTGTTGAGCTTTTCTACGAACTTTTTGTGGGGCTCGCGAGCGTCTATCAAAATGACATCCGGGTGAGCCCTCACAAAACGAGCTCGAAACTCAGCATGGTCTTCCTGAGCCATCTCTGGGACCTTTGTGGGATCTTCTTCCATTCGAGCTCTGCGACTGGCGAACTGCGTCTGCAGCGCCTGACATGCCAACCACACCGCAGCGAGCTGCATGACGGCGAGGTCACGAGCCGCCGTAGTCGCTCCTAGCTCATCTTGCGGGATCAATGCTTTGATCGCCTCTTTTGCGGCTGATGCCGAGTCGCCGAGCATGGCGAAGACCTCCACTGACAGCAAGCCGTTGTTGGCCGCTGCCAGGCACAGGTCCTCACTTAGAGCATGCCTGGCAAAGATCTGCCTGAGTGCAATCTTTGGCGTACGAGCTTCATCAAGGTAGCCCGTACGATCGACCATGGTGTCCGCGACCTTCACCAATAAAATGAAAAATCATTTCAGGAATCGCTCCCGATCGAATATCACTATCTAGGATCCTAAGTACGAGTTAACGTTAAAGACTCGAGGAATCGCCGATCTAGTGAACGACCACCCGCACTCAAATATTTCCTATTGTGGCAGGCGATCATCCGAAATCAACTATTCTGCAGCTTGGTCTGACAATGGTGGCAGACCATACCTGGGGCATCCGGCCCAAACGACACCACATCCTTCAGTGAGAGCCGTCCGCAAATCGTATGGGTCGAGCTCATTGAAAGGAGTTTGATGTGGTATCTGAGATCTGAGGCAACGAGAGCTTTTTGTGGGAGCGATCCTTTAACAACGTATTCACATGGAGCGGGATCAACAACGTCAAGGTCATCTTCCACTTCGAACCGTTGGGGATCCGGTTTCCACTGCTCTCTGATCTCTGCCGCCAGACCTTGAACCATCTGAACTGATAGTTCTTTACGCTTTCGCGCGTATTTCTGCACAAGCTGACCTGGATTCTTCCAGTTAGCCTGCAATCCTATGATCTTATCGTCTACTTTAGATTTGACCGCTGCGGACAACATCGTGGTTCGCATTGAGTGCCACGTGATCGAGTGGCTTGATTCACGTGCCACCGCGGCCTGTTCTTCAGTGATCACTGAATCCGCTTCTGCCACATCTATGGCTGTCTGTATGAAAAATTTCAGCCATGGCATACTTTTGGGATACGAAATGGGGACCGTATCAAATTCAAATTCACTGACCAAGTCCCAAATGAAGAAATCCCTATCGGAAAGGAACTCGCGAAATACTTGCCACCCCTCGTCCAACCACTCGACTCCGGCGATCGAACAACGAGGAACAGCAAACCGAGTTCCCTTCCGTTTACGTTCGACCTTTGTTTGCCAAACTAAACCAAGCAGGGCCTCCTCAGTGAGCTCAAGAGATGCCGGCGCCACGTGGCGGCCATCGTCCCACCTGAGCGACGCATAGATCAAGATGAGCGTCCACCACACGAAGAGAGCCGCCGGCTTCTTGCCCTCCAGTATCAGAGCATTCACGAGGTATTCGAGAGCAGCAACCACGGGCAGCGGAACTTCGACTGCCTCACGGAGCTCTTTGCCGCGATCGAGGTAAACCTTCTGAATGATTGCTCCAACATGCGGATCGTCCGTATCCGGGACGGGCATGACTAGCCGCTTACAGATCCATGACTGCATAAGACAGCGCTGGCAGAACTGATGGGCCGCACTTCGAATTGGAGAGGTGCAGGCAGTATTTGGAGAAAACGGAGTTGGTGAGGGGGTAGACCGACAGCCCTTGGGAGCCAGCCCACTTCTCCATTCGCTCCCATGCGAGCACATTCACACGGATCGTGCGAAACGCGCCTGCACCGAAGACCAGCTCACGGATCTCTGCTTGCTCGCCGGCAGTGATCTCTGCCCCAGGCAAGGATCGATTGATCTGAGCATGCGATCCCGCCTTGGCAGCGATTGTGCTGCCCACCTCAACTTGTCATTCTCTTCTTCTGATTTGAGGGAACTCACCGCCATCGTGGCCGGCTCCACTTTCGGCTTTTTGAATACAGGGATCCTAGGATCTTTCAGACCACCGCGAACCTGCACCTCAACCACACTTAGTGGTCGAACGGCCGATCCATGACCATACCCCAAGTCGGTGGCAATCTCGCCCATGATCTTCGAGCGTGATTGAAGGATCAGGTTGAACAGGAGAGGTGCCAACTCGATCCGTCGAAGTACCACGTCCCTATCCTCCTGATCCCCCCCCATTGCGCCCAGCATCCGAGCGATCTGATCATCCGCTCCTTCATCGACATCCAGCGCCAGCCAGAACTCGGATCGCCCGAGCCCCAGCCTGCACAGCGGTCGAATGAACTCATCGTCGAACATCGGCAGCTGAAGAAACGCCGCCATGGAGCGATCCATTGAGCTGTTCAGGCTAATCGAAAAACCATCGTCATTGATCAAATACCAAACGATCAAAATTCTGGAATCATCTTAAAAAGGATATTAGGATCAATCGAACCGCCACAGGAACTCAGCTGATCAGCTCGAGCGCCAACGGCGAATCGGTCGAGCATCCACTTCGTCGTCGTCGCGTGATCGAGCGACCCAACGAGAAGAACGACGACATCCGACCCGTCCCAATCCGCGTCGGATCCGACTAACGCTGGAGCAGCGGCGACCAGGGATCTTGGTCTCCACCTCCATTCCTGCAGCGCACGACGATCGCCGCGCGTCGCAAAAGCGAACGAAACCCGGATCGGTTGGGATCGAGCGGAGAGAATCGAGCACGAGCGTGCTCACCAATCCTTTGGATACCGAGTAAAACAGCTTAGATCTAAATCATAAAAGAAAAACAAACCATGAACAATCGATCATCGAACATTCAAGAACATGAAAGAAGGGGGAGAACGAGACACCTGCGATCGCATCTAAGTGGCGCCCCGCCATCACTTCCCCCCCCAAACCGCATCCCCGCTGGCTTCTTCTTCAAAAACCTGTCCGGTGATCCGGCAAAAACACGAGCTCGATCGATCGATCTTCATCGACCCATCAGCTGCCCCCGGGGCCGAACGAAGAGGGGGCCGAGGCTGGCGTCAGGTGAGGATCGACCCGACTGCCTTCGCCCTGACCTGCGGCATCTGTTGGCCGCCCTCCACTTGCCGCCGTCGGGAGCTCAAGATCTCCAGGGGGCAGATTGTCTACCTCCTCGATCGTGGCCGACGTCTCATTGAAAGTCTTCGACCGGATCTGGGATGCGAAAATGGCTGGAGTGACCTGCGCAGAGGACCGAGCATATCGCCGATCGTTCCGCGCCTGATCACGGTCCTCATCCTCAATGTGATCCGTGGACCTATAGGAGGAGCATTATTAAACGAGCGACTGGCCAGTTCAAAATCCGCCTGAGCTGAAGTCGAGACGACTGGCTCATCCGCTGAACTAGCTGCTACGACCCGCTCAGCCACGTGCCTCCAAGCGCCCTCGGTGATCGCCGGCGGCCCAAAAGGAGCTGCTAGGCCTGCCTCTTGATGCTGCATTTCTGCGATCGCCTTGGGGTTCACGATCTCCGGCGCCCTGGTCCAGAGCTTGGACGTAGCGGTGATGTGGAAGTTCCCCTCGTCGAGATCACCAATAAAATCGACCAGGCACCCCACATCTTCAGCGTTCTCCGCAACCGCCCAATTGAACCAATGCTCATGCACCGCTGCCAGTTGACCAAACTGTTCAGTGTGCTCCGGCCCTTCAACTCGAGCACGAGCTTGCCGAACGTTCTGGATCGTCTGGATGAGGGTTGGCCCGGAGATGTGTGAGACCGTCAGCCAGGTTCCTGGCACTGCAGTCCTCTGGCACTTCAGATCCAGCCTGGTGTTGGCGTCTCTGAACCTGAACTCCACACGATCTGCATCGTTGCCCATGGCGTCTTGCGACGATCGATTGCACACCCGGAGCTCAAAGCGAGACCTGGCGTGATCACCAGCCACGACTGCGCCATTGGGACCAACGGACTAGGTCCTGCCTCCGCATTCGAAAGAAAAGACCGTCACCCTCCAGCCGACGAAAGCAGCCACGACCACTCCCTGAGCAGGACCTCATCGACGAACTGCTGCTGCACGGTCAGATCAGTGTCTGCCCGATATCCCCTGAAGATCCAGTGAAACAGGATCTCATTGCCGTTGTACACCTTGACATCAGTGTAGCTGAGGTGTCCCTGAGCATCGGCCATGAAAATGGCTGAAAAGCCGGATGACTCAGAGCTGTGGCAGTGTGCCTGTCCCAGCCTGCATTTGGAGCCCCTGTCTCGGTATCGAGAGCAATGACGATCACCGCCTTGATCCCATCCAAGGTGTAGTTCCCGAACAGCGAAAGGTGGAAGCCCGAGTTGGGTGGCATGACCTGATCTCTCTCGGTCAAGACGTTGATGGAGCTTGCCGAGTTGGCCATGATCTCCCGTGTCAGCCAACATTGGAACGGCGAGACCATGCGCACATCCCGATCGTCCACCATGATGAGCGAGTTCTCTGACTGATCCACCTCATTGTACTCAAGCCAGTTCAAGAACCTCGGCAGTTTCACCTCGAACGGGTTGTGAGCGGCATTGTGAGCGCCATAGCTGTAGGTGGCTCCATGTGAGCCCCAATTCCCAGCACTGCGGTTCCCTTGACCGCCGCGGTGACCACCTTTGCCCGACATGGCTTCTCTCCCCAGGCCCAGGTGGCGAACGCCACACGCGTTCAAAAATCAGAGCTCACACCTTGAGCCAAAATGGCATGAACATGCCATTGGCTCGATGCTCTCCAAAAGTGGCTGATCAGCCAATATCAAAAATAAAAAGGATCCATCGATGTAAATAATTGGAGTTGTGGAGGAACGAACAATTGATCTACTTATCCCAGCCTAACCAACCGATGATAAGTCAACATAAATATAGTAATATTAAATACATTTGTCGAACCACGTAGGACACCTTTTCAACAGACCGCACCACAACCCCGGGACCTTCACCTGCGATTCGGCCGGCATGGTGAAGAGTTGACCCGCCCGTCCAACCCCGAGCTCCATGGTCTCCGAAGATGCCTAATAGCGTCCTTGTTCCTGATAGCTTCCTTGCTCCTAGTAGTACGGCCAGGAGCCCCTAGTAGCTTCTTGTTCCTAGTAGCGATGCCAGGAGCCCCTAGCATCCTTGTTCCTACCTGTATGGTCTGTGGTCTCGCCGCCCGACACCTCCCGCCCTGCTCCCCCGAAAGGTCTCGGCCTTCAACATGCGGAGTACCGCATCCGGAGGCCTCAAAGCACAGCGGACTGTGTCGGTGGAGTCGTTGGTGTCCATCCGATTGATCACTGTGGAGTCGTCGTCACGTTCTTCGTCCATGTTCGAGACCATACCATGGTCCCCATGGGTTAGTCTGGGTGGGACTGGACTAGACTCGACTTTATACTGTAGATGAGCAAACTGGGGTTCGTCCCACCGAAGCCCCTGGCATCCGATTACAAAATATAGGTCGATGAGTAATTGATACAACTCAGCCTCTATTAAAAGGACACTGCACCTTCGGCAATTGATTGGTCTCTACGCACTCTGATGCTTCAAGGTGTCTGTGGAAGTGCATAGAGTGCATAGAGCGGACCACGGGTGGTACAAGAATCACCACCAAACCCAGTGGCCAGGTGCCTATGTTCCACAATGGTTGTTCGAGAACGGAATCCAAACCCAAAGCGAGTACATGTCTTTTGGGAAGGGTTAAAACTGTTCAAAACATGCGCTTGGCCATCGCTATTAGGTTGTTTCTAGTGACTTCCTTCTTCCAGTTGAAGGCAGGTTGGGGAGTGCAGACCACCGATGTCACGATGTCTCCCACTCCGGGCGGCATCGGCTTCTCGGTGGCGGAACCTGGCGCAGTGAAGAGGAAAACCCGGAAAGGTGAAGCAAAGGGTCTGGGAAAGGACACCCTGACTTTACAAGACCCATAGGCTTAGGGCTCCTCGCCATCAACATATATATATATATATTAGGATGAGGCTGTAAGCCTCATCATGTTGGTGCCTGCACAAGGGGTAAGCATTGCTTTGAAAACCACTCCGCATTCAAACACGTGGCTGCTCGCTCGTTAGCTGATCCCCCGAATGGCTTCTGCCTAAAAGCCAGTCAGCCAACCTTCACCATCAAAAACCCAAAATGGAACATCCCTTAAAATTTGCCTGTTCTGATGTTTGCAAAAAGGGAACCCAACACATCACGCATGCCTTCCACATCGACATCTGCGGCAGCTTCGCTGCCTCAGCAAGGGGTTTTGTGCCAATGCCAGCAGTTCCGACCTGGTCTTTTGGTAGATAGGGCAATCTAAGCTCCAAGAGCTGCTTGCGGACGGCACCAGGTGTTGACACCAGTGTTAGCTTTTCTTCGGCAATTCAGCACTTCAGCATGGCTCTAAGCCATGGTGACAACGAGCCACCTCTTAATTAGGTAATATGATATAATTAAGCCTCATAAAGGCCTTCTCTTTCCCAAGAATCCAAATGACTGCTGGCCATCTGTGACTGGCGACGACTGGGACCCTTCGTGGTTTCAAGTCCGATTAAGGACTTTGACCTGGAAAAGAGGGTGGCCGAATGTCCATGAGTCCATGAGAAGAAACATGGACATATCATGACATTTCATGATATATCTCCATCCTCATCCATCCTCCATGCGAAACTCGCCCCTCTCCATCCAAGCATCCAGTGTCTGACTCGCCCTCGGCCTCCAGGCCTGGCAAGCTGGCGTCGCTGCGAGGCCGACCCGGTCGGCCTCGGTCCCTCCAGCCGAGGGGCTCACCTCTCAGATTTACAGCTACGTACGTGCCTGTCATTCCAAGCATTCCGAGAGGGAACGTACATCATAAAACATCATCATAAACAAGGTGCATATTGAGATATTGAGGGATTAGATCTGGATATCTGTACATTATCGGATTCCAAGGAAAGCAAACAAAGATCCAGGATTGTTCGTGAGTCAGCACAGACATGGTAGCTTGGATTCGCAACGTTTAACTCTGTGAGAATTTATTGATGTAATGAAGTGAAAATATGCGAAATACAAGTCAAACATCATTTATTGTTAAAAGCATGGAAAATGGCAGGGTCTTCTCAGTCCTTCTTCCGACAACCGATCCAAAGGCGCCTGGAACCTGACGAAGGTATTTCAGCAGCCACATGCGCTCCTCAGCGAGCAGCGGACCAGCCAGGCGGGTGGGTGCGGTGCGGCAGGATTTGTGCCGACTTCGTAGGAAGCCTATTCTCTCTCAGGTTGAAGGCCATCGCTATTGGGTTGGAGGCCATCGCTATCAGGTAGGAAGCCTAGCCGCATTCTGTTCTCTCTTGGTCGTGTTGAGTTCTACCTGAAGCATGTCACTATCTTGACCCGGGCTCAGGTGCTTCGGGCCCTCTCCCATGCTGACCACTCTTGGGGCCATAGGTCTCAAAGATCTGAAGCCCCTGACAAGACACATGCCCAGAGGAACACCGGCGTGTTCCTTGGGTTCCAAAAGGGTCAAGTCAAACACACGCCCATTGCAAGCAAGCCGCAGTGACATCCTCTTGATGTGCAGTAGCTCAGCTATGTGTTTGCTTTAAATTATACTTAGTGCACCTGGCTAAATGAGAGGGTTGTATTGATGATGAATCGGGGGATGGAGTGTGCTGGTGTGCTGAGTCTGCTTCAAGTGACAACTAAGCATGTACAGGGACTCCAACAGTCCCACATTTCGCACAAGGCAGCTTGGGCAATCGTTTTGGAGTGGATCCGTACGATCGCGTGCGATCGCATGCAATCTGCAGCCAATGTCAACTGATGTAGGCACGAAACAAGGCACATCGTTCATAGTTAAAATTCAGCACAAATCCCTGCTTCGCACATGGGTACTCTTTCCCAAAGCAACATAACTTCCCCCCCACCGAGAAGAGGAAGATAGTAAAACACTCTCAAAGTTGCTTGGCGTTGTATCTGTGCAAAGATGACTTCAAGTGAACTCATTTCCATTGTCATTGGCCTAGTGAACCTGTCTCAGACGTACATCGCCAGTTAGAATCACTACAAAGACCCACAATCAGGTCATCAAAGAGCATGGACACCATCTTGGATTCACTGAAAGATCTGCCACTGGATAGTTATTCACCAGTCTCTTTTGTTTTGGGGCTTCAGATGCTTCAGGGATCTAATTGCAGAATTCTCACCGAGCTCTTCAGGTTCCAAGACCTTGATCGAGTTCCAAAGTGCTCACCTGACGGAGACCCCGCTTCTTCTTGAGACTGGCATTTCAAGGGTGTGCATCAAACAGGATCCCGCATGATCCCGCATGTCTCTGCTGATGGATGATAGAGAATTTATCAGAAACATGGCTCTGTGTCCCAACGTGATTGTGCAGTTGGCCGAATGTTTTACGACCTCTTAAAGAGCGGATGAGAAGAGACCCTTAGGCTGTTTAGCACAGCACGGACTTTGCCTCACACACTGAATCGTTGCTCCTCTTGTGGGCATCGCATGCATCAGCATTCAAGAGTACGCTGTGCAAACAGCTTCGGCCACAAACGTCACAGAGTCACAGAGCGTGTCCCACGAAAAGGAGGAACGAAACAAACGCCAGAAACCTTCTAATAGCGATGGTCTCCACCCTAATAGCGTCCTTGCTACTAGTAGTAATGGCCTCCAACCTAATAGTGGTTAACGTGTCTTGAAGGAGTGGGGGGGATCCCCCAGTCCACGGATTGAACTGTTGTGTATGGTACTTGCAGCGTGTAAGGCGTCGCAACCATTGCAAACCTTCTGCCCATGAACTTCTGGATGGAGCCAAAAGAGATCAATGTGTCAGCCCTGAGAAGCAACGTCAATCTTAAGAGCCATTGTGGTTCTTCATGTCTGCACTTCTGTCAATCAAACAATCTTGGTTGCGAAGACTTGCAGGTTGAATCCACCGCGGGTCTCCCGAACCCGCAAACACTGTTGTAAAAAAAGTCTTCATGGCAGGTAGTGCTGCCTAACTTGCAGGTAAAGTCTCTGTTTTTTTTGTTCACTTTGTGTCCTCATTGCTTCATTGCAAACCCATAAATGACTGCTGCAGCCGATCTTCTCACAGAAAAATGATATATAAAATGTTACACTTCAAAAGCACCTCGACCCCCCTTGAGTGGCGCCTCCCGAGCATTCGGTCACGTCAAAGCGGCGCACTCCGAATTAACCGAAAAAATGGGGGTCCCTTCGGGTGGTTCTTTCATTCACAGCATTCGCTCTGGCCTGGCTTCCACGAGCACTAGTCATCTTACCTTTTGGGGGCACCATGAGGCGACGATGTGATCGCGAGGAGGTGAACGCCCACCAAAAACTCTTCCAAACGATTCTTGAATTCTGAATACTGAAGACGATCTACTCCAGGTGTGGGATTGGATGCCCAGACAGACTAAGACGAAGCAAGATAAGCAAACAGAAGAAGCAGATTGCAGGAGAAACAGAAAGGAGCAGGAGCAAGAACAAAAAATAAGAAACCAAATTAGAATGCCCACAGCCCCGTCATCAATATGGCCAACCAACTGAGAAAAAAGAAACACCGTAAAATGGGTTGTTTTTGAAAACCGGCAAAGAGCCAGCGAAACATAGCCAGTCCGCTAGCTGGTTGCTTTCCATCTGGCTAGTTCATTGGAGTTCTTGAAAGCCCACGGCC